AAATCTCTTCTGCATTATCTCAGTTTTGTTTGTTTGCTGACTCACAGAATCAACATGGTACAGCTGCAGAAACAGATGTTTGCTTTGCCCCTTCTACCATCAACAAAGTTGGCAGCTGTGTTTGGAGTTCAAAATTGTTGTTAACATTGAACAGGCAAAGAGGTACTAAGTAGGAAGAATGCAGGCTGGGTTGTAGCTACCAGGCACTTCTGCATTATCTCAGTTTTGTTTGTTTGCTGACTCACAGAATCAACATGGTACAGCTGCAGAAACAGATGTTTGCTTTGCCCCTTCTACCATCAACAAAGTTGGCAGCTGTGTTTGGAGTTCAAAATTGTTGTTAACATTGAACAGGCAAAGAGGTACTAAGTAGGAAGAATGCAGGCTGGGTTGTAGCTACCAGGCAGCAAGTTATAAACATCTAGTTTTGATTTCGTAATTGGTTAGAGACACTTTCACTTCTACGTCAGTAGTCCAAATCCAGCCTCAGTTTTACTATCTGATGGCCTATGATTTAGCTTAGACTCCAGTGAGCCTTGACACAGGTAAGGGTCATTACCAGGGGTCTCAAACTCCTAGCCTGCAGGCCAGCAACAGCTGGAGAGATTGTGCAACCCAGCCTAGAATTCCCAGCAGGTCAGAAGGAGCCTGTTTGTTACTCGCCCCCAAGCCTTGACTCTTTCCACCATTCCCCACTCTCTCCCCCCCATGGCACCCCATCCCCAAAGATGTGTGATGGCAGTGGTTGGGGCCCCTTGCACTCCTCACGGTGGCAGGAGTCACAGGGAAGCAGAGCACCCTTGGAGATGGGGTGCCTGGGGAAGTAGAGGGTAGGATGATGGCAGAAAGGGGCAGCGGTTGGGGACCGGTAATGGATGTCCATCCCCCCCTTCCCCCGCCTGCCAGGAATCCCAGGCTGGATTGCACAATTGCTCTGGACCAGGATGGCCTGCAGGCTGGCAGTTTGAAACCCCTGGTCATCCCCTGGTCACTACCAAGGCAGCACGGAGATGTTTGCATAACTGTTGCCTATTGGGGACAAAGAGAAAATTTGATTTAGAGTTTTCAATCCAGCTCTTTTCAAGAGCAATAAAGACACACATCTTTGTTTGCCTTGTAAACTACACAGCCGTGAAATGGAAGCCTCTGCCAGAGTGTATGTGGCCTGACAAAATGTTACCATGCTTGAGGGATAAAGTGAGAAAGAGGGACCAGGCAGGGCTTGAAAGCTTATCTTTCACACCAGCAGACATGGGTCCAATGAAAGATATTACCTCGCCCTCCTTGCCTCCCTAATATCTTGGGCTTCATGCCTACAACACTGCACACAAAGGGTATGTCTACATTGCAAGCTTATTTCAGAAAAAGCTGTTCTGGAAGATATTTTCTGGAATAGCTTATTTGGAAATAGAGCTTCCACACTCCAGGGAAGCTTCAAAATTAGTCTGAGGCAGGCTCCCCTAATGTGGATGCGCCATCTTGATGTAGAGCCCCAGGAGGCACAGGGGAGGAATAACTTGAAATGGCTTTGGTGAGGAGCTATTTCGACATAGCAGCAGCGGAGCGTCTACAGACACTCTCTTACGAAAGGGCTTTTTCGGAGAGACGTTCTTCCTCGTGGTTTACCAACGTCGGAAAAAGCCTTCCGTTATTTCGATTTTCTTTCGAAATAACACAGTTTCTGTGTGGATGCTAGTACTGTTTTTCCAGAATAACGGTGTAGTGTAGATGCACCCAAAGTGAGGAACAGTCTATCCTTCTTAGTGGTGCTAAAACCAGCCATAATGATACCTACAAATAACATCACTGTTTCCTATCGTTTATGGGTCTCCTATCTGTCTTCATGATCTTCTCTCTTCCCGACAAACCCATATCTTTTCATTCCATTATTAGAAATAATTGTTGGAGTGCATGAGTGCGGGTGGTGTTCAAAAGATACCATTAAACCATTTGCAGTAAATGTCCTTTAAAGTTTCAGTGGTCTCATTCTATTCAATAAAATCTCTCTCAATAGCTACTGTGTGCTTAAGGATATGATACAACTTTATCTCATTAATCAACTCAAAGCCTGAACAGAATACCTTGTTTGTTTTCTTTCACCAATACAAAGGAGCCTTTTACCTAGTGAAAGCATTGCAGTGCTGGGGCTTTCTGTTCTGGGGACACACCAGTCATGTGATTTCACAATCAAAGACAAGTCATCAAAACCTTTAAAAAATAGCCTTTAAAAATAAAATGTCCAAAAAACAGCAATTCCGTTGCATTTAGGGTTGAAATACAATTTAAACAAGACATTTGGTTGGAAAAGGTTTTTATTTTCAGCATATTGATTTTCCCCTCATATTTATATCCAAACATCTGTTAATTCACACATTTGATTGCTTCAGCAATACCACCCACATGAACATTTTGCCAACATTCCTTTCCACAACCCACCTCTGATCTCCCATTCCACCTTGGAATGTGATCTTGCAGGCTAAACCATGTGTGACATTAGACACTGAGACCCTTAGATTATGACAAACCTTTCTGGCTGTGAAGCACAGTTTCTTCCCTCATTTAGAATGGCCATCTATCTGTTGCTCTTTTAATCCCCTTGGGTGCGTCTAGACTGGCAAGATTTTGCACAAAAGCAGCCGCTTTTGCGCAAAAACTTGCCGCCTGTCTACACTGGCCACTTGAATTTGCGCAAGAGCACTGACGTTCTAATGTTTGAAATCAGTGCTTCTTGAGCAAATACTCTGATGCTCCCACTCAGGAATAAGCCCTCTTGCACAAGTATTCTTGTGCAAGAGGGCCAGTGTAGACAGGCAAGTTAATTTCTTGCGCAAGAGAGCGTCTAGACTGCACGGATGTCTTTTGCGCAAAAGCATCCGTGCCAGTCTAGATGCTCTTTTGCGCAAATGCTTTTAAATGGAAAAAATTTTCCATTAAAATTATTTGCGCAAAATCATGCCAGTCTAGATGCAGCCCTTCTTTTATCCAAGCATGCCCCATTCTGCTACTCTAATTACAGTAGAACCTCAGCTGCAAACACCAGAGTTAGAAATTGACCAGTCAACCACTCACCTTATTTGGAACGGGAAGTACACTATCAAGCATATCAGGCAACAGCAGAGACCCAAAAATAAAAATAAAAAAAGCAAATCCAGTATAAGGCTGTGCTAAACAATTTTTTTTAAAGGAAAGCAACATTTTTATCTTCATAGTAAAGTTTCAAAGCAAAATTAAGTCAATGTTCACTTGAAAACTTTTAAAAGAACAACCCTAAAATTTTGTTCAGCAGTACAAACATTTCAGAATTATGAGCAATCTCCATTCCCGAGCCATTCATTACTCTGAGGTTCTATTGTAATTTCACTGTTTATGGAAAACTCCTATAGAGTGTAAAGGGGATTAAACTAGTAGCTGTCAAGCTGTCATGAGTGTCTCAGGAACATGAGTACCAACTTAAGGGCAGCCCGTTAAGAAATAGATACAAACCCTAAACTGGCAGTGAGTTCTTAGACTTAGATTTGACCCATCAAAAGTAAACTCTTTGAGCACTTTAATAGCCTAACCATGGAATCACAGACAATACTCTTAGGTAGTCCAGTCTAGCTTGCCAGTGACTTTTATAGCCTTCTTCCAAAACTCATGATCGTATACCAGCCTGCTGTGCAGATTGGTTCACCAATATCCAGTCTGTGTAATCTTTGAATCCCCCCTTCGTATTTCATCCACTATCATTGGCCCTTGCAGTTACATGATTCCATGATTGCAAGAGTCACCAAACCATGAAAGTTCTCAGATCCCCACTGGATATGCCCTAACCTAACCCCTTTCAACTTGCCTTCACTTGGAGCAATCTGAAATAGGCCCCTCATAACCTCATTTAATTTCCTAACAAAAAGGGTATGTCTAGACTGCATCCCTCTATCAGCAGAGGGATGCAGATTAGGCAGGTTGACATTGCAAATAAGGCAGGGATTTAAATATACCATGCCTAATATGCACAAAAATAGCCACCGTGTTTTGCCGACTCAGCACTTTGCTGGCAAAAAGCAGCAGTCTAGAGGGGGATCTGTCGAGAAAGAAGGCCTTTTTTGACAGATCCTGTAAACCTACTTGCAGGAGGCATAAGAGATCTGTCGAAAAATGCTTTCTTTCTCAACAGATCCCCTTCTAGTCTGCCGCTTTTTGTGGACAAAGTGCTGAGTTGGCAAAACGCGGCAGCCATTTTTATGCAAATTAGGCACGGGATATTTAAATCCCTGACTCATTTGCAATGTTGACCTGCCTGATCTGCATCCCTCTGCCGACAGAGGGATGCAGTCTAGACATACTCAGAGTGTCCAGCCATTTAACCATCTAAACATCTGTGTTTCCATGGTAGAGAGCCTGATTTCCCTTTTTGTGGCTGGCCAAGACGGTCCCTTACATTCAGATGGGTGGCATTAGTTTCATACATTCTGTTTTTTAACATAATTGCCATTTTTCTGACAGAGAACTGGGGACAGCTCTTGCCATTTGCACTGAACCACTTTACCATGATTGCATCATTCAGGAGTGCACCATGTTCAAAACCCATTGATCCTAGATATTTAACCCAAATTAAAAAACACAGCAAGAGAACCAAAAAAATTCCAATGTGGCTTAACAACCAAGTAAAAGAAGCCGTGAGAGATAAAAAGTAATCTTTTAAAAAGTGAAAGTTAAATTCTAGTGAGGAAAACAGAATGGTGCATAAAGTCTGTCAAATGAAGTGTAAAAATCTAATTTGATAGGCCTAAAAGGAATTTGAAGAACAGCTAGCCAAAAACTCAAAAAGTATTGCAAATTTTTAAAAGTACATCAGAAGCGGGAAGTCTGCTAAACAACTAGGCTACATCTCTACACTGCGGAGTTTTTGCGCAAAAATGGCCGTTTTTGTGCAAAAACTTGCAGAGTGTCCACACTACAAGCGCTTTTTTGTGAAAGAGAAAGTACAGTAGATCATCAGAAGACAGGGCTTTTTGCGCAAGAGTTAGTTCTTTTTTTATGAGGAAAAAACCATTTTGCGCAAGAGCTCTTGTGCAAAAAGGCGTGTGTGGATGGACAACAGGGGTTTCTTGCACAAGAAACCCCTATCGGAAAAAGCACAGGTGGTCTCCAATGGCTTCAGTAAATCAAGTGAAGTCTCTCCACTAACTTCAGTGTGCATTTGATCAGGCCTTTATTCCTTAATCAGTATAAAATCAATTTATTGTAAGACCAGAAAGGATAATCTACTAGCTTGACCATCTACATAAATATATGCCACAAACCTCACCCAATAGTTCTGCATTGTATTCCTAACTTCTTTATGAGCCTTGGCATATGTTTTCAAAAGATATCGAATGATGATGTAAAGACAGTGTAAACTCTTTGAAAGGCAGCTACACTCACCATGGCATGACCAACATACCTAATAATAGATTTTGGTTTCTTGGTCTTTAGGTACACACTCAAAGCCAGATAATCCCTTAGAACAAATTTAAAGTAGGGATGTGAACAGGTAACTGGTTAACCAGTTACCTAGTAAGTCGCACCCTTTAATGGGTGATGCTTACTGGGTAACGGTTAACTGTTACCTGGGAACAGCCCCCCACCCACGTGCGGAGTGCTGCTCCAGCCCTGCAAGGCTGCTGGCTGTCAGCAGCCTTACACTGGGAGAATGGTGGGCAGAAGCGGCAGGGGGGAAGGGCTGCCAGCTCACAGGCTGTGCAGGTTTTTGGGCTGGGAACTGGCAGCCTGGAGGAGGCGGGAGGAGAAGAAAGCCAGAAGTCACAGTGTGTGATGTGGGGAGGGCTGCCAGATCCCAGCTCACAAGTCCACACAGGCTGGGAGCCAGCAGCCCTCTCTCCTCCCTTGCTGCCACTTCTGGCCCCGCACAAGGCTGCTGGTTCTCAGCTCACATGGGCTGGGAGTCAGCAGCCCAACACTGGGTCAGAAGCAGCTAGGCTGCAGCAGCCACTGACCACGATGTGGGGGCCACTCCAGCCCAGCGAGCTGGAATGTTCCCCCTTCCCTTCCACCTGAGTTTAATCAGTTAACTGGTTAAACGGAACGTTAAAGGATAAGTTATAAGCCACCGTTAGTAGTTCTTCAATTCATATTTTAGTTCTTTCAGGACAGTGTTTCTCAACCAGTGGTTCAAATATCCTTAGGGGTACTCAACAGAAGTCTGTGGGGTACGTCAACACAACTGAAATTTGGAGAAAACTGAATTTTTGTTTTAAGTTTTACAGCATTTTATTATTTTTGTACTTTTTACACCCAAAAATGTCATCACCTGCCTGGCTATGATTAAGTTGTTTAAACAAATGTGTTGCAATGGTAGAAAAAAAAATTGTGTGTCTGAAAACTGTAGGTACTGAGGATATTTATAATTTTTTTTAAAAGGGATACTTTATAAAAAAAGGTTGAGAAATACTGTTTCAGGACACTTTAATGAATGCTATCTGCTCCTGGTGACTTATTAACGTTTAGTTTACCAATTTGTTCCATAACCTCTTCTAATAATGATACCTCAATCTGGGACAGTGCCTCAGTTTTATCACCTAAAAAGAATGGCTCAGGACCAAAGCAAATAATTCATTTAAATTCTCCACAGTGACCTTATCATCCTTTAGCACTCCTTTAGCGTCTTGATTGTCCAGTGGCCACACTAGGGCTACTTCTACACTGCAGGCTCCTTGCGCAAGAACTTTTTGCAGAAGAGATCTTCAGCAAAAAGTTCTTGCACAAGAGCATGTCCACACTGCCATGTGCTTTTGTGCAAGAAAGCGTCCACACTGCCATGGATGCTCTTGCGCAAGAATGAAACATTTGTAAAACTTAAATAAGGAGACAAGACAGTGGAAACTATGAAAGCATGGTAGCTTAACAGCACTTTATTGAAAACCACAGATTTCTCCAAGAAGGTATTTCTGTAGTGCTCATAGAACACAAACTGGATGGCAAAGCAAATGAGACATAGTTATCATTGTCATTCAGAATTAGTTGTCATTCAGAAATGGCTCTTTTATTTAAGAAAACAGGGGAGAACTTCATTTTTAGCCATCAAAAACCATTTAAGTGAATCTAAAGGTACATCCCATGAGAGGCATGGGTGTGAAAAAGGAATCAGTGTAAAATTAGTTTTAATGGCACCTACAGAGCTGCTGTGTAGAACAGTCAACACTGGAAGAGCAAAGTCCGGCTGGCAATGACACATTCTCTGCCACATTCAGATCAACCCCGGCTGTCAAAGGAAATGCGAAGAAGTCAAGGAGACTTGTACCTTTAACTTGCAGTAGAGCTTACATTTGCACAGTGGAAACATCCACAATGATACTAAATCAACAAAGCTTCTCGGGATTAAAGAGGGAGCCCAAGTGTCTGCTCACTGAGGACAGCAGCAAAGCTCCTCTTGACTTCACAAGGAGCAGAATTTTGGTTCCCGGCAAATCAAACCTGTCTGTTCTTGAATCCCTGGCAAGTAGAGTGCTAGGGTGGGGTTCAAATCTCTGAAACATTGACATTTCCATTACAGGTTGTTAAAATGGGAGGTTTTCATCTACATTTACTCCAGGCATCTTTTATTTATTGAATGATCTTTTATTTCACTTCTAGTAAGTAAGTAAATTCTGTTGATTTCAACATATCACAAAGGAGCAACTAGTGATCTGTAGTTTTGCTATACTTCTGCTTAGACAATTCGGGGGTTTTTGTTGTTGTTTTGATTTTTTTGCTTGTTTGTTGTTGTTGGTTTTGCCTATTCCAGCAGATGTTTTTTGCTTTACAGGCCAAGGTAAACATGCTAGAGTTTTCCTTCCCTTTTAACAACATTTGTCAGTGCATTTTGATGGGACAATCACTTGCTGTTTGCTAAAAGCAAAACAACCTGGAGGCTGTGCTGAATGATCCGCTATGGATACTGAGGGCTGTGTAAGCACACTAAAGGTTACCAATGCCTAATGTGTGTAGGCATTCCTTGCTTAGCACTTCCAGCTCTATCCAGCCTCTACAGCTGACAATGGAACATGTCATACCAGGCCTGCTGACGGAGGGGAACAAAGAGGGCAGTTGTCCCAAGGGCCAGCAATTCAAAAAGTGACCCAGGGCTCCCAGCTGATACCACTGCTACTGTGGCAGCAGCATTGGTCAGAGCCCTGGGCCCTTTAAATCACCACCAGAGTGCCACACTGCGCTTTGCACAACTCTGAGGGCTGGGGAGGGGGAGCAGCACTACAGTCTGAGCAGCACAAAGGGCTGGCTGCCCCTACCCCCGCCCCTTCCACCTGATTCCCCGCCCCTTCTGGGAATGCGGAGCTGCCCTCCCTGCCCCACATCTTGCCCAGGGGCCCGCAGAAGCTATCAGTTCCCGTGTCATACACTTTTATAGCTGCTGGCTGCCATGCTGATCCTGTATTTCATAGCATAATGCCAACTCACAGCACTGTTTAAACTAAGGACATGTCTTCAGTAGGTGGAAGATTGACACTGCTGTGATCGATCCCCTGGAGTTCGATTTAGCAGGTCTAGTAAGACCCCCTAAATCGAACTCAGAGGGTGTCTCCGTCAGTGCCAATATTTTTGCTCCTCGCGAGGAGTAAGGGAAGCCAATGGGAGAATTAGCTCTCATCAGCCTCCAGCTGTGGAGACCACATGGAAACTCAAATTAAGGTATGTCGACACCAGCTAATTAACATAGCTGGAGTTGCGTATCTTAATTCGACTTTCCTGCATAGTGAAGACATGGCTTTAGGTAATGTAGTAATATTGTGGGCCAGGATCTCTTTGTGCTAAACCTAGCTGAAGCAGGGATTTTTTGTTTTTTAATAGAGTCCTGCTGAGATACCCCACTGAACAACTTGTGAACATTGACATAAAATACATGCCAAATTCCTGAGTGCCAAAAACCATCAGTTTGTTTCTTACTTTCTCAGCTATGAAACCCACTTGATATAAAAGAGAAACTTGGACTTGTTGCTAGCAGAGGCACTATTTCAGATTTTGGTGGGGGGGGGGTAAGAAAGTGGGAGCATGGTGGGAGTGGACTGAGGACAGAGGCTTCAGCAGTATTACTAAGCATGCTCCGTACAAGCCAAGCACCAAATGGGGAGGGGAACCAGCCTCTCTATCTAGGGGCTACTAAGGCACTGGAAAACTCTACATTTTTGGCAGACAACTTAGCAGATAGCTGACAGGAGCACTGTATCTAATTCCTATATAAAATAAATAAAATAAAATAAATATTAGACCCACTCAGCTGTGACACTAACATTTTCTGACATCTTATGGAGGTCACTTAAGGGACACTGGTTAGCCCTAAAAATTTAATGTATATTCTTACTTTGTTACTAACTGTAGAGACAGGCCGACCCCATCAGGACTCCTGGGTTCTATATCAGCTCTGGAAGGGAAGTGGGGTCTAGTGGGTTAAAGAAGGGGGCAGAACTTCAGAATGGCCATAATGGGTCAGACCAAAGGTCCTTCTAGCTCAGCATCCTGTCTTCCAACAGTGGCCAATGCCAGGTGCTTCAGAAACAATAAACAGAAGAGGCAATCATCATGATCCATCCCGTCACCCATTCCTTCCCTTTCTCAGCTTCTGGCAAACAGAAGCTAGGGACACCATCCGTGACCATTCTGGCTAGTAGGCATTGATGGACTTATTCTCCTTGAACTTATTTTGTTCTTGTTGGAACCCTGTTATAGTTTGGGCCTTTCCATTATCCCCTAGCAAAGAGTTTCTCAAGTTGACTGTGAAGAAATAATTTGTTTTGTTTGTATTGAATCTGCTGCCTATACATTTAATTGGGTCAGCTTCTTGTGTTATGTTAGTGAAGGAATAAATAACATTTCTTTATTCTATTTTTCCACACCATTCATGATTTTCTAGACATCTAACATATTCCCCCACCCATTAGTCATTTCTTTTCCAAGCTTAAAAGTCCCAGTCTTGTTAATCTCTCCCCATATGGAAGCTGTTTCTCACCCCCTAATCATTTCTGTTGCCCTTTCTGTACCTTTTCCAAATACAATATGGCTGCATCTAGACTGGCATGATTTTGGGGAAATATTTTTAATGCAAAAGAGCGTCTAGATTGGCACGGATGCTTTTGCACAAAAAGTACTTTTTTGCAAAAGCATCCGTGCCCAGTATAGACGCACTTTTGGGCAAGAAAGCTCCGATGGCCATTTAGCTAGCGGGCTTTCTTGCGCAAAAAATTAAGGTGCCTGTCTACACTGACCCTCTTGCGCAAGTATTCTTGCAAAAGAGGGCTTATCCCTGAGCGGGAGTGTCAAAGGATTTGCGCAAGAAGCACTGAATTCTTACATTAGAATGTCAGTGCTCTTGCGCAAATTCAAGCGGCCAGTGTAGATAGCTGGCAAGTTTTTGCTCAAAAGCAGTCGCTTTTGCGCAAAATCTTGCCAGTCTAGATGCACCCAAGATCTTTTTTAAGACGGGGTGACCAGATCTTCATATAGTATTTAAGATGTGGGCGTACTGTGACTTTATATAGAGGCAATATGGTATTTTGTCTTATTACTTATTCCTTTCCTACTGATTCCCAATATTCTGTTAGCTTTTTAGTTTTTAGATTGTCACTGCACATTGAACAGATGTTTTCAGGGAACTATCCACAATGATTCCAAAATCTCTCTCTTAAGTGGTGACAGCTATTTTAGACCCCATCATTTTTGTTAGGATTATGTTTTTCTATATGCACTACTATGCACTTGTCAACACTGAATTCCATCTGCCCTTTTGTTGCCCAATCACCCAGTTTTGTGAAATCCCTTTGTAACTCTTTGCAGTCACCTTTGGATTAGTCCCTGCTCACCTCTTTTTCAAGAACATTTATAAGTTTAACACAGTGATACAAATGCAAATTCCAGTAACACCACACTCAACCCTACTCACGCCCCCCCCCCCATCTCTTAAGTGGAGTACCCAGCAATGTTTTCATGGTGATCTAAAAATCCTTTAAGAACTGGCATGCCCAGCCTTTTGTTATTTTTAATCACCTGCCTCCCTCTTTTTGTAACAAACTCCCTCCCCAAAGGCAAAGCTGAAAGCAGCTCAAACTCTGTTGCATTTAAGAACTGCCTCTGGAGTCAGGGCATGGGCTTTAAGCAGACCTCAAGTATAAAATCCAGGAGTTCCAACTCCAGGGGGGGGCTACTGCCCCCCTAAACCCTCATAAATGGCATCTTTGGTGGCTAGGAGGTAGATGTTGGTTACTCTTCACTGACACTGAATTCCTGTATTCTCTGGAAGTGGGTCTGGCCCACGAAAGCTCATCATCTAATAAACCATCTTGTTAGTCTTTAAAGTGCTACATTGTCCTGCATTTTGCTTCAGCTACCCCAGACTAACACGGCTACATTTCTATCTGTATTATCTCTGATGTTTAATTTTCAGGTTCATGTGTTTTAACCTTCACAGCCCTACATTCCCAATCAGAAGAAGTCTGGGATATCTGCATGTTGTATGGGAATTACAAGGTGAATTTGAATAGTATCATGTAGCTAAAAGCACATCATTATAGTGCCTGGTACCAGCTTCTACCATATTGTTAACTGCTCGAAGGTAACATTTCAAATTCATAAAAACTAATGGCCAGATCTTTAGCTGGTATAAATTGGCATCTGGGTGAAATTGATGGAGCAACATGGATTTACACCACCCTAAGATTTGGCACAAGGTCTTTTGTTACCTGCATAAAAACAGAGTAGGTCCCACAGAGTATCCGTTTTAACTCAGCAATCACTTTGAGAAAACAGATGATCACTTGAAGCCCACTAAGGGCTATGAGAATAGAGAATAAAATGATGTTCCATTCCACTACATGCGCAGGTTCAGTGCACTTGGACCAGGAACTGTACTCAATGAGGTAACTACCAGAGAAACAGAAAAATTGGGAAATTAGACCAGTTAAATGCCTAGAAATGTAGCACTTAATAATAATTCTAACCGTAATCAGACAAAATAATAAAACCCATTATTTTTTTCTTTTAATGTCCTGAGGCCATGTTCTGGTTCCAGTTACACCAGTGTAAATCCTAAGCAGCTCAGTTAAACCCTCTGATGTTAATCAAGATTTACACTGGTGTAACTGAGACCAGAATCCAGACAAGAGTATTAGAAGTTTTGTGTTTTCTGCTAAAGCTATAAACTAAATTTAAACAGAGACCATTTATAACAGTTCTATTTCATGAGTACCAGTGAAGCTGTAGTCCAATATACTTTAACTTATGTTGGTTTTTTTAAACCAAAATAGAGCAGGAAAGCCCAAATAACATTTCACCATGACATAGGGTAACTAGATGTCCCGATGTTATAGGGACAGCCCCAATATTTGGGACTTTGTCTTATATAGGCACCTGTTACCCTCAACCCCCATCCTGATTTTTCACACTTGCTATCTGATCACCCTACTCTAACAAGTGTACAGAGAGTTGATTGAGGGCACTGCCTAAGGGAATATCACCATTTGTTATTCCTGTCTGGCCTATAGCCTACCTTCCACCTCCCTACTACCCCTATAGAGTATGTGATTCACTGTATCTGTTGTATCTTCATTAAAAATAAAGGAGATACAGATCAGAAATCATGAGTCAAATGTTCCCTGAGCCCCATGTGTGATAATTTCAGATTGAAAAGTTCAACCTTTAATGCACACAACTGATCGCCTCTCCCTGCCTGCTCAGGGGGAGACACCACTTAGGCTGTCTTCAGCCCAGCGAAAGGAAATAGAAAGCAGTTCCTCTATTGCTGACTTGAGTCTCTTCTGTAGCCTTTGATAAAAGAGGTCTGGTAAATAGTCTGAGAAGCACTTAACTCGTCGTGGTTTATGCTAGCACATAGCATTTATTTTACGTTTTAGAGCAGATGAATTGCAGATTACAGAACTTCTAACTGTATCAGCCAGTCATTCAAATGGGATAATGGCAAGTACAAACAATATGGGACTGATCTAGTCCAGCTGTTCTCTAACTGTGGGTTGGGACCCCACAGTGCAACAGGACCACCACCACCCTCCCCGCCCCCCTTGGAATGGGGTCGCCAGGGCTGGCTTAGACTTGCTGGGGCTCAGGGCTAAAACCCGAGTTCTGCTGCCCATGGCCTAAGCCAAAGCCAAAGCCTGTGGGCTTAAGTCCTGGGTGTCGGGTCTCGGGTTGCAGGCCCCCTGTCTTCAGCTGAAGCCCTTGAGCTTCAGCTTTGGCCTCTCTGCCCAGAGAAGTGGGGATCAGGCCTGGTCTCCTCCTGTAGCAATGGGTAGGGTTGCCAGGTGTCTGGTTTTCTACCGGATAGTCCGGTATTTGCTCCTTCTGTCCAGTAGAAAAATTCAGAAAATACCGGACATGTGCAATGTTCGGTATTTTCTGAATTTCCAGCTAGGCGCCGGATGGAAGCCTGGCGGGGGCGGGGGAGCGGCTGGGCGGTGG